TGCTTCTCACCACAGCCCCAGGGCGTCGGGGAGACCACGCAGAGCTTGGGGTGACCCCGAGCGAGTGGCGCTGGGATGCACAGTGAGTGGTGCCCATACTGTGCCCGGTGACTGCATCATTATCTGTCACTGGTTCAGGCAAAGGGAGTGTGGGACAAGGTAGGCAGGGAACGAGCCAGCCTCGGGGGTCCTTTAGGATTCTGCTCGTGGGAAGCCGAGAGGGGCAAATGGCCCAGGGTGGGGGGTGGGGGAGCCTCGGATTCCTGGGCTGAGGAGCAGGGAGAGCCATGGGAACCCCAATGGCACAGCCCAAAAGTGCACGAGGGAGTCCGCTCCCAGCCCTGCCAGCGCGGGGCCGCCTGTCCTGGCACCTGGCTGGCAGGCTTTCTCCGCCCCTGCCCGCTCTCCCTGCCCCCAGATGGCACCTTCCCGTGAATCATCGTCTGGAAGGGAGCCGCAGGAGCCGTGAGTGTGGATGGTGCAGAGCAGAGAGGGGGCGCACCCGGCGGGTGGGGCCCATGGGGATGGGCTGGACTGGAAAACAGGGGCAGCCTGGTGTCCGGGAGGCCCACTCCCCAGGCCATCACCCAGCCCGCGGCCACCGAGAACTTGGCTGTTCGTGAGGACCGCCATGTCCTCCCCTCCCCAACCCGGTACAATTCCCAGGCACCGAGGGCTCGGGGGACAGCACAGCTACCACCCCTACACGCTGCCTACCCCTACTTCCAGAGATGGCGCATCCTCCATCCCTCACTTCTCGCAGCCCCAGGCACTGCTGGGAAGCTGGGGTCTGGCCAGGAAGCGGGGAGGGGCGCGTGGGAAAGTGCAGGCCTGGGTTTGGATCCTGCTCCGGCACCTAAAGGCTGTGCAACCTTGGGCAAGTGACTTTCCCTCTCTGAAGCCCAGTGTCTCCCCCGCAACACGGGAGAACAACAAAGCCAGCTTATATGGGGCTGTCGGGGTTCACAGGGGCCAGGAACGCATACAGCTCCGCAGGGCCAGCCCGCCTTTCCCAGGGACAGGCAGGAGGCGAGGAAGTCGGATGACTCCCGAGGCCTCCCCGTGACACCATTTTCCTCCCGAGCCTCGCCCGTCCTGCTGCCGGCACCCGTGTTGGGAAACACTTCCTACACCCGCTGCCGCCTGATTCCTTCCTTTGTCGGTTCTTCTGAACCCGTGGCCACGGGACCGGCGGGTT